CATTACACATAACATTTATTGTCAACATATAGTGTCTAGTATGGAAACAGCTAGAATCTAAACACTTCAAAACTGCAGAGAGGTGATAGTAGATAAAAGTATGAGTGCTAGGAAGAAAAAAAGTTTATCAGCACATCTCTTATAAGGAACTTGCATCTGTAGAGGTGATAATGGGTTTTGATACTGTGAGCTGCATATGAGGCTTTTTTTAAAAAAAATCATTAAAATTCTTCATTTTAATGCTCTAGTTGGAAATAGTATGTCTGAATCAAAATCCGATACATTAGGTAAAGTGAAAGCTGAAAATTTGTTTACCTTCCCACTTTATGGAAGGAAGTTTCAGAAAGATCTTGAATTTTTGATAGAAGTATTACCTGCCACTCCCCACTAGATGCTGACTCTCTTATTAGGGTTACTAACAGGAATTCAGCAGCTACTCTGCATCAGGCAAAGCTCATGCCCCACCCTGGGAGGGCCACAGGCAAGGATGTGGGGGAAAGCAGGAGTCAGCCCCAAGGCCCTGTTCCTGGTTCATCGAAACAGAGAGATACCATGCCAAGTGAGAGCAAGCACGAAAGGCCAAAAGGCAAAGTAAGGTGTGGAGTGAGGAAAGACACGGAACTTGAGGGGTGAAATGAAAGAGGCCAGGGTTTCAGCGAGGCTCAGCCATAGGATAAACTGGGCAGCAGTTCAAGTGTAAGTCCACATATATGAGGTACTTAGAATACAAATTCACACAGACGGGAGGTAGGACAGAAGTCACCAGGGGCCAGAGGGAGAGAGGAATTATGAGTTATTATTTAACAGGCACAGAGTTTCTGTTTCAGGTGATGAAAGCATTCTGAAAGTGGCCCACAATGTCTGCCTTTGTCTGTGCCACATTTTGAGGGGGATTTGGGACATGTCCACAGGCCTCAGGTATGCCTGGCACTGTGTCAGGTGCTGGACAGATCATGCCAAAGAAGACTACATGGTCGCTGAGCTCCCAGATTTACCGTCCAGTGGGGGAGACTGATATAAATCACAAAAATAATTACAATACATGTACATGTTGAGCACTAAGAAAGACAGTAATGTCAGAGGGGACATTTAAGCTGAAAACGGAAAGGCGAGAAGGATGGGAAAGCAGGAAGACAGCATCAACAGATGTTGGAATAAACAAAATGTGGTCAATACATGCAACAGAATAGTACTCAGCCTGAAAATGAAATGAAGCTCTGATACACGCTACAGCAAGGATGCACCTTGAAAACATTATGTTAAGCCAAATAAGCCAGACATAAAAAGACAAATATTGTGTAAGTCCACATATATGAGGTACCTAGAATACAAATTCACAGAGACAGGAGGTAGGACAGAAGTCACCAGGGGCCAGAGGGAGAGAGGAATTATGAGTTACTATTTAACAGGCACAGAGTTTCTGTTTCAGGTGATGAAAGCATTCTGAAAGTGGCTGCACGACATTGTGAATATACTTAGTGCCCAAATTGTACACTTACAAACGGTTAAAGTTTAGTATTACATGTATTTTACCACAATAAATAAAAAAAAAATTTAAGCAGGCTGGTAAGTATTTCAAATAAAGGGAAAAGCATGGGCAAAGGCCCTGAAGCTAGTAAGATGCAACCTATAGAGAAGCCAAAAGGCCAAACCCCTGTTGGCTTCCGAGGCCATAGTTAGGAGCTTGGATTTTATTATAAATGCAGTGGCTATTTCAATGTTTTTAGAAGAATTTTAAGCAAGGAGAGAGGGTAATCCAATTTATATTTCAAGAGGTTCATTCCTACTGCGCCATGGGGAACCGGTTGGAGTAGGCAAGCCTTGAAGTGGATTCTTAAAGGGCCTGTTCAGTACCAGACACGCTGCCAATAAGAATTCCCAGCTCATGCCCTAGCGACTCTGGCTCAGTGGTTAGAGCACAGGCCTTCGGACTAAAGGATCCTTGGTTCTATTCCGCCCAAGGGGCATGTATCTCGGTTGCAGGCTTGATCCCTGGCCCTGGTCAGGGCTCATGCAGGAGGCAACCAATCAATGTGTCTCTCTTACACTGGTGTTTCTTTCTTTCTCTCTCCCTCTTTCTCTCTGTCTCTCCCCTCCCCTCCACTCTCTCTGAAAAGCAATAGAAAAAATGAGGATTTAAAAAAAAAAAGAATTCCCAGCTCAAAAGGAAGAAAAGGTAGGAGGACATATTTGGATGACAGATGGTCCTGGAACCCTCCCCTGGTGAGCCCACACCGCAAACCACTCCTCTGCACGGGACTCAGGCAGGAGGCAAACACCTCAAAGGGAAGGGCGCCATGTGACCACCCCGTGTCCCCATCAGGGCTCTCTTAGCCTTTGCCCATTCTCTTCACATAAATGTAGGCGCTCATCCTGGTATAACAGTGGTGCAGGTGTCTTTTCTCTCCTCCCAGACTCCAGACTTTCTTAGTCACAGGATCTATCATGTGCAACATGAGACCCAGACTCCGTTTCTGCTGTTGATGATAACACGGTTTAAGCAATTCCCTCACCTTGCCCCTAGCTTGGCTGAATTTTTAAAAACTTACATTCTTTAAGCTGTCGCTTATAGCTTGCATCTTTTCTGAAAATTTAAAAAAAAAAAAGGTAACAATAACAAAATAATAGGAAATGCAAGATAGAGATACTGTCTTTTCCAGAGGGTTGATGAAAAGTTGTGACTGACATTCCCATCAAGTCCTACCTACATCAGAAGAGGGGACCACAGGGGCCGTTCATCCTCACTTCCAGCTCTGAGGCCCGCTGGGATGGGGACCCGTGTCACAGGTCCCCCGTGCCAAGGCAGCAGAGCCACAGAAATCAGAAGAACACGAACAACAGGTCCACCAGCTGTACCTTCTCCGACGGGGAAGTCCGTTCTGGACACAGACGCTGCCATCTGTGACTCACAGCTGCTCCCTTCACAAGTACCTGCTCCTCCGCAGCATCCAAGTTCACAGCCTGCTTGTGTTCTTAGCGGAATTCCCAGTTCCTGTGGCTTTATCACTCTGAGCTAAAAATACAGTGCTGGCTGGCACACGGCCCAGGTTCTGGAGCCCGAAGCAGACTGAAGGCGAAGCAAGAAGGGCTGTGCTGAGAGGAGCCGGAGCAGCCCCGAGAAGCGGCGGCCAGGTGGTGACATGGGGGAGGCGGAGGAGGGTGCCGGCAGGCAGAGAGCAGTTATGAGAGGGGGGGAGAGAGAAGTGAGGATCTGCTACAAAACAGTTCTCTGGGGAGCATAACGAGCACTCTAACCTTCTCTATTCTCAGTCCAGTAATCCAGATGGAAATCCAATTTCCAAAGTCATACAAGTTGTGGTATATGGAGTTTCCTATATAAAGCCTTAGGGAGTTCTTTGACGTGCATTATGACACATTTTAATCTAAGTTCTGCATTGTAACTGATTCATTGAAAGATAATGTTAGAACTAAAATGGACTTTTAGAATTTCTTACCCCCCGGGATGATAATTAACTATTAAAATGTGCTTAGAGCCTGAAATCACAAATCAGAAGCAAAAGGATTAACTTGGCCAAGCACATCAGGAGGCTTCTTAGTTATGCAATAAAGTCAATGAAAACTGAGCTTTTTCCCTTTTGTCAAAAATGGAAACAGCTTTGTTATATGTTAAAAATTTCTTCAATACAGAAAGTACATAAATTATAAAAATCATTCAGGACACCACCCCCCCAAGGGGAAATTACCACCGTTAACATTTTGATGTATATAGCCTCCTAAACTTTTTCATAAACACATATGAACTATTTAAAATATCAGATGATATTATTCATACAGTTTTCCACTTAGCAGTGCACTATTAATACTTACCTATGTTTACATTCTTTTCCAATATTATTTTTATTGGCTACATAATAGTCTATTTTATGTATATGCCATAATTTACTTAATCTCCTGTTGATAGACATTTGAGATGGTTTCTAATATTTCACTATTATAAACAATTATAAACAAATATAAATATAGAAAAATTAAAAGTGTGGGTGCTTTAGCCCGCCAGCCGTGGCTCAGCGGTTGAGCGTCAACCTAGGATCCAGGAGATCATGGTTCGATTCCCGGTCAAGGCACATGCCCAGGTTTCGGGCTCGATCCCCAGTCCGGGGTGTGCAGGAGGCAGCCAATCAATGACTCATCATTGATGTTTCTATTTCTCTCTCTCCCTCTCCTTTCCTCTCTCTGAAATCAATAAAAATATATTTAAAGTAACTAACTAAATAAAATAAAATGTGTCAACTTTTAAAAAAATAAAAAATAAATAAATAAAAATAAAATAATAAAAAATTTTAAAAATCAATAAAATATATTTTTTTAAACAGTCAACATTGTTATAAAAACAGAAGTAGTATGCCAGGTGATTAAGAACACAAGCTCTGAAACTAGAATTCCTGGGTTCAAATTTCACCTCCATCACTATTTCTATGACCTTGAACAAATAAACTTCTGTATGGCTCAGTTTACTCACCTGTAAAAGCATGATAATAGTACATACTCATGGGGATACTGTAAGGCCTGAATGAGTCAATATATAGATAAGTGCTTAGAACAACATCCAGCACACAGTGCTATTTCAGTGTACATCAGAACATAAGTAGATATATATAACATCAAAAGCCAAGATCATGAATGCATAATGAAACACTAAAACCATTGCCATGAAAGTCGGGAATAAGACAAGAATATTCAAAGCCAACATTGCTGTTTAAATTTTTGGTTTGAAAACACTAGCCAACTGACCCATCAAGAGAAAACCACAACTTCTATAAGTGTCAAACAATAAAAGATGGAATTATCTTTATTTGCAGGTGACAGGATACTGTTCCTGAAAAATCCAAGAGAATCAACTGAAAACCTATTTGGAAAAAAAAAACAGGAATTTATTGGGTTTATTTAATTCATTCACCACCCCAAAGAGAAATTTAAGAGAGAAATATGAAAATCTCAACATAGTGTAAGCCGTGAACCTGAACTATCTGAAAACTCACCTTGACAATTTAATTTTGGGGACTCCCAGGTGCCCAAGCCCGTGCAACTTGAAACTGTATCTTCCAGGCGGCTGAAAAATCCTTCTTTGCAAGCATAACGAACCTGGCTGCCCAGCCTAGAGGTATAATTTCCTATGATATAGGCATCTGGGACCTCAGGAGGGGTGCCACAGTCTATTTCTGAAAATAAATTAATGTCAAATGCATTACTATAGGAATATGAATTTTCAAAATTCATAATCTCTGTGCCTCTATCCCCCTCCCTCTCTCTATACACACAGACCCCAGCCATATGCAAAATAGGCTGGTTTATGTCCATTTGACTTCTGGTATGTTTCCAATGATTATCTCTATTCAATCTTCTGACCTTCCATAGGTAACAGCACCTATACATGCATAAAGTTGAAAGAATTTGGCAATCAACCCTCACTAATTAAAGAAAAGCCTAGGCCAATGAAGTGAAAATTTTAAATTGCAAAATACCTTAAGATATATATGCCTTTATCATTTTCAGGGACACTTTTGAGATGCTGGTCAGCTGAGTTTACAAGCTAACATAATGGTTACTATCAGAATATGTATTAACTGCTAAAAATCCCTAAAGTTTGCTAATTTTAGCTTTTTAATATAGCCCCTTCTATCTTGATTATGTTGTTATTTGCTTATTTTATAAGTTGTATCCCCAACACAGACCCACAGACTCAGGCTCAGAGCAGGAGGAAGTCTCACCAAGAGGAACTCACTTCCCATGCTGCTTTCCTTGGCAGAAACCCACCTGTGCATGACGTGGCATCTCTGGTCGGGTGGAAAGGCTCAGGTCCACTCTTTGGTAAGTATCCATCCATACAGTAGCATTCAAAGCTCCCAGGAGTGTTCACACACCGTCCTCCTTGCCTACACAGGCCGGAAATCTCACACTCATCTATGTCTTGAGATCCACCCCAAACATAAGAGGGAGAGAAAAACAGAAAAAGGAAAAAAAAAGGGAGGGGGAGATATTGTGACAACCATTTTTCACATTCTCAGTCTACACTTAAAAATGGATGCCTTTGTTTGCAAATTGTACCATGAATTTTATTTTACTTTTTAAGGGATCTTCTCATATATCCTTCACTAAGAGGTGCTTCCTCCCAGGCAGAAAGGCTGGCAGAGGACATTGCTTCTTTGGCGAGTCCTCCCCGCACAGCCGGCAGGCAGGCGCCATATTTGAATTGCCAGCCCCTGACTCACACCTTTGGCCCCACCCCGTGATTCCTGGAGGCCCGGCCCCTCCCCACCTGCAGCTCATTCAGGCCATTTCCAGTGGCTTTTCTAGGCAAGTGGCCTCTCCAGCCTCATGCTTAAGACTTTCCTAAAATCTCTCAAAGAAGCAGGATCATGCNNCTGGTGGTCAGACTCGACCATGCTGGATTACAACCCTACCACATCCATGAGTGACACACTCAAGGGGTGCACTTGGTGAACACCAAAGCTCCATTGAGTAAATCCTGCTCTGTAGGGGTATCTCCAGCACAGCAGCTCTTTGGCTGTAGTTGCAGCTGGTCTTTACAGCCAGTTGGCCTGGGGGTCAATTCGTCCCACGGACGCCAACAGCAACCAAGGCTCAACTACAACAGGAAAGTGCACACAGCCCACACAGGGGAGCACCTAGAAGGCCCAGCTCACCTGACTGGGGAGGCTGAGCCACTGGACCCTACAGGACACCTACTACACAAAGCCACTCTACAAATTCCAGGAGACATAGTAGCTCTACCTAATACATAGAAACAAACACCTGGAAGCAGCCAAAATGCGGAGGCAAAGAAACATGTCACAAAGGAAAGAACAGAAGAAATCTCCAGAAAAGAAACTAAATGAAATAGAACCAAGCAAGCTACTAGATACAGAGTTCAGAATTATGGTTATAAGGATGCTCAAAGATATTAGTAAGACTATTATGAAAACAAGTGAGGCCATCGATGACATAATAAATTACCAATCAGAAATGAAGGCTACATGAATGAACTGAAATGAAGAATAATTTACAGGGAATCAAAAGTAAAGCAGAGCATGCTGAGGAGCAAATCAGCAATTTGGAACATGAAACAAAAAACACCCAACCAGAAGGGCAAAAAGAAAAAAGAATCCAGAAATATGAAGATAGCGTACGGAGTCTCTAGAACAACTTCAAGCAGCCCAACATTTGTATTATGGGGATACCAGAAGGAGAAAAGAGAGCAAGAAATTGAAAACCTATTTGAAAAAATAATTACAGAAAACTTCCCATACCCGGGGAAAGAAATAGAGACTTACAAGTCCAGGAAGCACAGAGAGTCCCAAACAAGAGGAACCCAAAAAGGCCCACAGCAAGACACATCATAATTAAAATGCCAAAGGTTAAAGACAAAGAGAGAATCTTAAAAGCAGCAAGAGAAAAGCAATTAGTTACCTACAAGGGAGCACCCATATGACTGTCAGCTGATTTCTCAACAGAAACCTTGCAGGCCAGAAGGGAGTGGCAAGAAATATTAAAAGTGATGAAAAACAAGAACCTACAACCAAGATTACCCAGCAAAGCTATCATTTAGAACTGAAGGTCAGATAAAGAGCTTCTCAGACAAGGAAAACTAAAGGAGTTCATCACCACCAGACCAGTAATACATGAAATATTGAAGGGTCTTCTTTAAGAAGAAGCTAATGAACAAAAGAACTTGACAAATGAAATAGATCCAGAGACACTGACGCATGCAACATACAATCATATTTCAGAGGGAAGAGGGAAGGGGGGTGGAGGGTGGGAGGAGATTGACCAAGGAAGTTATGTGCATATATGCATAACCCATGGACACGGACAATGACGGGGTGAAGGCCTGGGGAGGGGAGGCGAGGTGGAGGGGGTCTATTGGGGGGAAAAATGGGACACCTGTGATACTTTCAACAATAAAGATAAATTTAAAAAAAAGAAATTACATGAGATAGAATATAGGAAAAAATTTATATCTATCTATCTATCTATCATCTATCTATATAATTATATATATATATATATATGAGGACCAATCCAAAATAGTCCATATCTATTTAATGTTTTTAGATTATAATTTTTATACTATTCTGTATTCTTTTTTCCTACCCCTCCACTCCCATTCCACTTGGCAACCATCAGTATTCATTTAGGAGGAACTGCAAAAGAGAATGGAGTAAATGTATAAGAATTAATATTTAAAAAAAACTCAGCTTATGTGTTCAAATCCAAATAGCCTTTATGACTGACAGGCATGGATACTGAAAAAATGAAAGTCATTCTGAATTTCATAGAATAAGGGGGAAAATTTATAAACCCCCTGAGAGAAAGCAACGGTAATCTATGAGGAAAGACAACCCATCTGACCTAGGACTTCTTGTCTGAAACACTAAATGGTAGAGAGCCATGGAGTAATGCTTACAGAATTCTAAGGAAAATGGAGCAAAACATTGTGATATATTTAAACACAAGAATGACCTTTTAGACCCAGAAATCATACCACTGACATTTCTTTTCTGAAAAAGATTTTCAGAAAATACTGGAGCCAGTGGAAAACATTGGAATAAATAATGTCAAGAAAGAGGAAGACATAATAAAACACAACAAAGAGTGTTGAGAAATGAAACCAGTAAAACTTAGGGTTAAACAATTGTTAATAATAAAATCATGAAGTTTCTGGCAATTGTTAAGAAAAGATTCTTAAAATAAAAATAACATAAATAGCCCTGTCCGGTGTGACTCTGTCCGGTGTGACTCTGTTGGTTGAGTGTCATACCAAGCACCAAAAGGTTACCAGTTTGATTCCCAATCAGGGCACATGCCCAGGTTGCACGTTTGGTCCCCAGCTGGGATGTGTACAGGAGGCAATCAACCAATGTTTTTCTCTCACATCAATGTTCCTGTCTTTCTCCCTCTCCCTTCCTCTCTCTCTAAAATCAATAAGAATATATTTTTAAAAAAATAAATAACATAAAATAAGTTCAATCTAGGACAAACTTTAGAGATGATTTCAACACTGCAGAATACAACATGAGTTTTTAGATTTAATACATCATTTTAGCTTATCAAGAATTTATATCCCATTGAGGAATTTGTAAAATGTGTATGTGAAGCTTTAACACAGAAATCATTTTCCAGCCTGTCCACCTGCTCCAGATTGTCCAAAGATAGTGGGAATCAATGTTGTGGGGTTCCTTTTCAATAAAGTTCTAAAAATAAGCAGTATAAATAACTATAGGGCAAAAATGTAGCTAAGCAGCAGTGGTATGGAAGAGACTTGGAGTTCTAGCTGGTTTTGCTCAGTGATTAGAGCATCAGCCCTCGGACTGAAAGGTCTTGGGTTCAGTTCTGGTCAAGGGCACATACCTTAGTGGCAGGCTTGATCCCCAGCCCCCAGTTGGGGTGCGTTTGGGAGATAACCAATTGATGTGTCTCACATCAGTGCTTCTCTCTCTCTCTGAAAAGCAATGGGAAAAATAACCTCGGGTGAAGAAAAGAAAAAGAAAAAAAAAAAAAGGACTTGGAGTTTCCAGGCACTGATCAGCACTGTATGAGTCACTACAGTCATTACAGTCATTAATCAGTTCGCTTTGTGCACATTCAACAGCCTCCTAACAATAATTGTCATGATGGTTAATAACTATTCCTGCATGTCTTCTTGCACATACCAGGCACTCTTCTGAACTCTCATTATTTATTACTGATTATTTCCAACTTATTTAATCCTCTAAATAACCTCGTGAGGCAGATGCTATTATTATCTCCATTTTACAGATAAAGTAACTGAAGTTGAACAACTGGGCTGAAGTCACGAAGGTAAGTAGTGGGAAGCCAGGCGTCTGGCTCCAGAGACCACAGTCTCTACCACTGTGCAACACTGTCTCTTCCATTACAATCTAATTGCATGAACATCCAACCAATAATTCCCCATCCACAGAGATTGTCAAAGATATCATCAATTGCCTTAATGAAGCCTAGATATATCTCTATACATCACTGAGATGAGCATGACATGTTTTTGACTTTTAATCCCCTGCTACCTCTTATGCTCACAAACCATCCCTTTTCTAACCCACTCAAGAATCTTGGCTGGATAAAGCTGTTAAGCTCATCAGAACAACTTCTCCACATACTGGTAAATTCCATGGGATCTCCAAGATTATGCATGTTTGCTTGTGGGGGGGAAAAAAATGTTCTAAGCAACCTTATTAACATACTGAACTAATCAAAGGGGGAAATTCGCTGTGTCCTATTCTATATATTGGATTATTTAACTTTTATCTGCAGCTAGAACAATTTATTGCTAGAAAGTAGTAAAACGGAGCAGGACGCTCTGACCTGGTCCCAGGGCCCTGGAGTTCTATATTTAGCCCTTTCAACTAATAGCATGGGTTTGAAAGTCAGAAAGACCCAGGTTTGAGAGCTGATTCTGCTACTTACTAGATGTACTAACATCTGTTCCTTAACCTTTCTAAAGCACTTCTGCAAAAGGAAGCTAATTATAGTGGGTTTTCTGTGGGGATTAAATAAAACCCATGGAAAGCACTTAGCACAGTGCCTGGCAGCCCGTATGTCCTCAAGACATGTTAGCTAATACATGAATGAGCCTTGCCTCTCTCCTGACTCAGATGTCCCTGGGGCACAGCCACTCCTTCATACCTGAGCCTGAGTGTGACCATGAGCAATGCTACCCAGGGTCTGGGGGGTGGCCACATGGCTTGTTTCCCAGGATTTGACTGTTCCAAGACAGGGCAGAAAATCCACCTGGAGGGCCCTCAGCTGGAAGAAGAGGGCCAAAGGGGCAAAAGTTTACAAAGAAGCGAGCCTGTGAGTACCCCTCAAATACAAGTCCTTGTCTTGAGAAGCCTTTAAAATGTGGAGACTTAGCATGGACCCAATGAGAAAAATGCATTCAATAACTTTCAAGTTCATGAAAATGCCCTCAAAGCCAACTTTTCTCCATATCGACACCTAAGAGCTAGACCCTCCTAACTCCACGAAGTTAAGATGAGACACAACTTGGAAAGTATATATATATATTTTTTCCTGCCCCCTTCCCTCCTCTACTGCCAAATTCAGCTAAGAAACCTGTATCTTAGGAAATCACATTAGAGGAAAACACACACCCATTTAAAATCAGGCCTGTTACATTCACATCATTTACTAATATTCCCCAGTGTTGGCAAGGATGTGAAGAATGCACACCTTCATAACATGAGTAGTAGTCAGAGAATATTGCTATGAATTTTAGGGAAGGTAGTCTGGCAGTGTGTATCAAAAGGTAAAATGTGTGCCTTTGACACAGAAACCATCTTCCAGAATGAGTAAGAAGGAGATAATTATTTGTAAGGATGTAAGTACAAGGATGAACATTATAGCATTTCTTCCAATAGCAAAAAAACACACACACACACACACACACAGAAATAATCACATAGGGGGAAAAATCAGTTAAGTAGCAGAGTATACAGCCATATAACAAATTCTGTGTAGCTAATCTAAAAGGTATTATATATCTATCTCTATTATTTTTTAAGAGATAACTTACATTCTATGAAATGTACTGGTCTTAAGTGTTCAGGTCATTAATTTTGAATCAAAGATGGTTACACCAAAGCTCCACCTCCAAAAGTCAGAGACTTTAACTGAGGCACCACTGACTCTCTTTGGCAGTGAGGGGGCGTCCCTGAGTTCCCCCAGCTAACATCCCTCACACTTTTCTCTTGCTTTTTACTTGCTCAAGCCCCAGGATATCCCACATTCTTTCCCAAGGCCCTGTTGGCTGGGAGATGACAGCCTTGGCCGTATTTCCGCAGCAGTCTCATTTCTCTTCACTTACTCTTGGCCCACTCAAGTCAAAGCACCCTCACGCTGGAAGTGCCCCAGAGCTTCTTCCTGGGTTGTGGCACACTGAAAAGTTTCCATGACCCCCAGGAGTCATTCAGGGGGCAGCCCTGGGGCCAGAACATTGGCAGGTTCTCCAGAACTGGAACTCCTACACTAGAACCCCTCATCTATCCTTGGTGATATCCAAAGAGGTCTTCCTGCAACCAGCTCCTGAACCTGACTTGAATTCCGCAAAGTATCAGAAACATCTGCTCCCAGGATTCCTAGTAATTCAAGAACTATGATTCACATCCTGTGGTTCCAGGCAAACCCTGGCTAACTGCTGATAACCCAAAACTTGCTAAGCCTCTGCCCCACCTAAAGTCCACAGTCTGTGGCAACTGTGATTCTGAAAGAAACTCAGTATCATCAAGAAAAGTAATTCATCAGCTTTCACAAAGCAATGACTGGAGACATAGAGAGGAAAGGTCATGCAAATGAATGACTGCCAGTGGACATGGGGCTTCTTTTAGGAAGATGGAGATGTTATAAAATTTGATAGTGGTGACTGTTGCACAACTTTGTGAATATACTAAAAACCACTGAACTGTATACTTCAAAAGGGTGAATTTTATGGTGCGTGAATTCTATCTCAATTTTTTTTTTTTTTTTTTTTTTTAAAGGAAAGGTCACTAAATAATTACGAGAACTAAAATAAATAGAAGCAGGGCCCAGATCAGAATTTTATTCCAGGAAGATTGGTTCTTACTAGGCTGACACCTATTTAACCCTTACATAATTTTTTTTTCTTCTATCTTTTTCAAAGTAGAATGCATCCTTGAAACCTACACTGACATAGTTATAAAAGATTTTCCTGGCAAACTCCACAACCTTGAAAACACAATTTCAGGTATCATGTCCTCCAATCAAAGCTCCCCAATCCCTTTCCCACCTCCAAGCTGAGTGCCCCTGGGGATTCTGGCTTCCAGTAAGCACGCTTTGCTTACCTATCACTGACACTTTATCCTGAAATTAGCTGCCTGTGTCGCCTCCCAGTAGCATAGCCTTGGGATGCAGAAGGGCATGAGAAATGTGCACTGAATGAACTCAACAGCAGATCATCATCTTGTAAGGTGGTGGTGTTGTTTTATTGGTACCTAATTTAATCCTGCAACACTGCACTTCTGCAATCATCTGCAAGTAATCTGCTGCCTAAAACAACAGGATATTATCAAATGTCTTCTTCCTTGAAGGAATGTGCTCATTTGGGCCAAGAATGAATCAAGTGGACCCTCGGGAGGATGTTTACCTGCGTATAGGTCAAGGGGGAGAATGAATCAGAGCATCAGAGCACCAGAGCCTGTGGTCCCTTGGGGGTAAGAAGATAAAAATCATGTTCTCCTCCCCTTTCTTTTCCCTGGAAACCTTTAAATAACAAAGCTTTTAAGCAGAGTCATTAGTCTGTACAAACCCTCTTAGAGCCAGCAGACTCTTCCTGCCTTTCCTCTTCATTACTGTTCAGAGATTTTCTAAGAAAACCAAAGAGCGACATTATCATGACATGCTGTAAGTAGAGTTCAGATAATACGGGGGCCACTGAAAATTAGGAGAGTTTTGCCCACCTCTTGTATTCAACCAACATATGCCCAGAAATCTGACAGTCAAAGCTACTGAGGTCTGAAAAGTTACACTCCTCAGCTTTTTCCTGTGGGAGATGAGCCCACACCTCAACAGGAGCTACACTGTGACCTCCTGGGAGTCAAGGTCACAGTGCCCACCCCCTGGGACCTTAGTGGGCAATGTGCACAGAGCTGGTGAGTACCAGAGTCACCCCAAGAACAAACTGCCCACCTGGGGATACAGGAACCTGCCGATGGCACACCATGTCTGATAGCCCCTCCTTGTTATTTGTTATGAAAATGTTCAAACACACAGTACAAGAAAAAGAACATTACAGTGAATTCCCATAGACCCTGTACCCCCACGTTTCAACACTTGTTCACATTTTGCCATTTAAAGTACCTTACAGATATAATAACAGTAGATACTTCATAATAACACCCCCAGATGGAGGTGGAAGAGGGCATAGAGGTGATAAATGGTTATGGAAAAAAATAGAATAAAATATTTAAAAGAGAGAGACTTAACAGATGGAAAAAAATTAAATTTAAAATAAATTATGAAAAATAATAACACCCCAGATACTTCAGCATGCATCTCCCAAAATAAGAATATTATCCTAGCCTTGTTGGCATGGCCCAGTGGCTGAGCAGCGATCTATAACCAGGAGGTCAATGTTTGATTCCTGGTCAGGGCACATGCCCGGGTTGCGGGCTCGATCCCCACTAGGGGGCGTGCAGGAGGCAGCGGATCAATGACTCTCTCATCATTGATGTTTCTACCTCTCTCTTCCTTCCTCTCTCTGAAATCAATAAAAACATATATGTAAAAAGACAATACTATTTTTTAAAAAAGAATATTATCCTAAATACCACAGTACCATTATCCCACCTAACCTAACAAAATTAACAATAATTCTCTAATATTAACTAACACGCAGGCCATGTTCAAATCTTGCTCAAAGATATTCTTGCAGGAGAGTCCCTCCCTTAAATCACACCCTGTCCCAGCCTTGCCCTCTCCCTCCTCCGCACCCCAGACAGGGTCCTGCCATCACCAAGCTGCAATCACTGCAGCCCCTTCTTGAGTACCTGTGCAAAAGGTGCCATCGTTGGGAATGAATGTCTTGTTGTTGTTTGTGGCTCGATATCCTTCTAGGCAGATGCAATAAAAGCCTCCGAGCGTGTTGTGGCAAGATGTGTGGTTCCCGCAGACCACAGTGGTCCCGAACTGGCACTCATCTTTATCTGTTGATACATTGAGACAACACACAGGAAAGGCTATCAGTCCCTACCAGGTCCTGCACCCCACTGTCCTCCTGTGCTGTGGACTCAGGAATCAATATTCTGGGACAGATTTCCCCAGCCTCTTTCCCTGTCACTATGCTTCTCAGACTACAGCTTATGGGCCCCTCGGAGTTATGCGCCAGGTGCGTATGAAACCACAAGAGGAATCCAACATCTCCATCCAGAAATCCATCTTATTTGAAGACTGGGAGGAGGGGATTCTTTTCGAACCTTTCCACACTTGCAAAGATCTTGTCATAGGCCTGAGGAAACATATCTGGCAGAACCCCACGTTTCCAGCTCAGCCATTCTTCTTGATTTTTTCATGAAAGCCAGGAGGGATGACTTTGCATGCAGTGATTAACTGGAAAAATTGTTACTTCTGAGTTACCAGGAAACACAACAGCATTAGCGCTTTAGCCTCATCTGGGAGCAGGGCTAATACTGTGTCAGGAGCAGCTCCAGGGAATGGTCAGTGACCCATGTGAATAATATTAGTCACCCAGTGAGGCCGAGCTGGAATATGGGATGCCTGCTGAGTCCACAGAAGCCTCCTTGAGTATTTTTAATTCAATAATTCGACATAGATGCAAAATGAAAGTAAATCTCCCTCCCGTCTCTGTGCTTGGGCCCAGAAGTCAGCAAACTTTCTATAAAGGGCCAGTCACAGGTCTCTGGTTACAACTGCTAGGCCACCCTTTTGGAGCCTGAAAGCAGCCCTACTCAACAGGTAAAAAAAATGAGGGTTGCGGGCTCGATCCCTGGTCAGGGGCTGTGCAGGAAGCAGCCAATCAATCATTGATGTTTCTCTCTCTCTCTCCCTCCCTCTCTCTCTCTCTCTCTCTCCCCCATTCCTCTCTCTGAAATCAATAAAGATATATCTTTTTAAAAAATGAGCAGTATTGTGTTCTAATAAAACTCTATTAAAAAAAAACTGGCAGTGGCCAAGTTTGGTCCTCAGGCCACAGCCTCTATCATCAGAGGAAACTCCTGTGATCAATTTCTTTTGCATCTTTTCAGAGCTGATCTATCCAGCTAGAGGTTTGAAGTTTTTTTGTTTTTGTTTTTTGAGGGGTGGGAGGGCTGGAATCGTCAACTTACAAACCTCAATTTTTCTGTTTGTTTGTTATTTAGTGATTTACTACAGCATTGGTTCCCTCAAAGCAGTTCCATTGCCTCTCACAATAGCACTCAATTCCTGCTAACTCAAAAGTACCCCACCCCCAAAATCTGGCATTGGTTTTTTATGTTGTTGTTCCTGTTTTATTCCATTTTTGTTGTATTACCTTTGTTAAAATTTAATTGAACCTGGAACACTATTCATCATTAAAACTGTCCGTGGTTAGATCTGCATTGGAGCACTTACAGAGAAAGAGAGCCAGGCCAAGTGTCCAGTCCAGCTGACAGCTCTGCATAGGGGTTTCAGACATAAGCCCAGCTGCCCATAAAATGGGACATTCCTGTCCTTCACCATTTCTGCCATTGTCTCTGAGGCATGTCTTTCCCTGAAGACTTTGCCAGAAGGGACATTTGAGCTTGCAGGAGATGCAGGAATTTTTGTGTCTCTTGGCATATCACCATGTTATAGCATCTCTGGCACAGGTATAACCTCACCAGTAGCCTGTGGCATGGTCTCAGCAGGCCAAGTAGTGAAATATGCAGTGTCTAGTGTCTGCGAGCAGGTACCACATAAATATATAAAGCCCCCTCCTTCCATTCAGAGTCTGTATTGTTCAGAAGTCAAAGAGCAATCTAGAGGGCAGGGAGCTTTCCTGGGAGGAAGACCTCATTAGGGAGGGAGCACAAAAGGACTATCCATGGTCCTCGACTCCAACTTCATTGCCAAACCCCTGCTGGCAATTGGTAGGGAGAGAGCGATGAGAGAAATTCCCAGAAACCTTGGACCGCAAGGCACCCACACTTCTCATGGGCAGAATCCTAGAGAGAGTGAAAGACACAACTCCAGCCTGCAGGAATCGGCAAAGGTGTGTGGCTGTGAAAGCTTGTATCTGTGAAGTAGAATATGACCTTTTAAACTCAAAACTGAGTTGTTGTGGGGTTTTTTAGGGAAGAAAAAAACCAGATACCACAACAAAGTTGTGTACACCACCAGTCCACAACCTTAAGGCAAAACTATCAATATTTTTACTGCCTATAACAAGGTTGCTGGGAGGAAATTGTGATTATAGTAACATTCACTATTATAACGTTGCTGTGAAACTCTCTTTCTCTGAATTGGGTGTGAACCTGGATATTGTTGGACTCTCGTGGCATGGTAGGTACCATGAGGCAAGAAATCATCTCAGATGCTTCTTGACTAAAGGACTTTATATTCTTTTAAGTCACCCAAGACTCCAAAAGTAATAGCCACAAAAAATTTGAGGGATGGATTCTGGTAGACACGTAACTCAAAGCAACAGAATTTCATCAATTAGCCAAAAATAATAGGCAATTGTGTTTTGCTTACTTTCATGATACTAATGTGGGTATTTTTATATCAAAACCACCAGAGAAATTAAGAAACTCATTATTGACTTGAGTTGCTAAGTTAAGCTCAAGACTTAAAACATTTCAAATTTGTGTTAGGCCAGAGTTTCTAGAGGCTCAAGTTCAATGACCTCTAACATGAGGGATACTTCCTTGGAAAAACTAGAGACAGGATATATCCAAATGCTAAAACAAAGACTTTTTATAATTGACAAAACTTCTTGTAATAAAAACAATGAAAAACAATAACAATGTTTTCCTGCCAAGGACATCAACTCTGTAACACTAGAGAATCTTGTTTCTTGGTGTGTTCAACTTTTCAACTAGACGCAGGATGCAGAACTTACCAACACACTGAGTCCTCCCATTGCCCACAAATCCATACTTGCAAACACACATCTTCTTTCCTTCTCTTTGCTTGCAGGTGGCATGTTCGTGGCAAGTGGCACAGATGTCTAAACCTGAATCATAAAGTATATGTTTCAGGAAAAGAAACATTCAATCACCTACTCTAGACGAATCATGATGGAGAAGCAAAATTTGCATACCAAAATTAAAAAGGATCTGACTCCATCCTTAAAAACCTACAATGACTACTCATTGCCCACAGAGTAAAGTACAAATTCTTCTACCTGGCAATCAAGGCTCTTAACAGCCTGACTCTATGCCAGGGGTGGGGAACATTTTTTCTGCCAAGGGCCATTTGGATATTTATAACATCATTTGCGGGCCATACAAAATTACCAACTCAAAAATTAGCTATGAGGAAAGCTCCTAGATTTATTGAATTTCCAGTGCCGCCTGTGGTTGCCTTGGCAGGGCCAGAAAAAATGATTTTGGGGGCTGTATACTGCCCACGGGTCGGATGATCCCGACCTCTGCTCTAGGGTAGCTCCTCCAGTGTCACTGTCCCAAACCTGAAGCACACCCGGTATTCTCTGGGGAGGTGGCCGACTAGTCTTCCCGTACATGCTCTCCACTCATACTCCATTCCATGGTCACGATGTTCCCTTCAATTAGAATGCCTGTCCCTCCATCTCTGTCCAGCTGGCACCTATTCTTATTTTCAGACCCAAGTTAAACATCATACTCTCCCTGACATCTTCCCCATTCCTTCACTCTTGAAGAAAATTCAATGTCTCTTCCTCTGTGCTCCCCTAAGAACTATATATTCCCCTATCAGCCAGGTTAATGTAAAATTGTATTCTATTCCAGCTCAGTCTTCCCAGCGTGGTATTATGAATGAGCTTCTCAAGGACAGGGGTTATGTCGATTGCCCCTATGTCATTATTTATATAATGTAAATATTCTATCTATTTTTATTGCCCAACTGGATAAAGGAGTCCTACTGGCTATACCTCAAAAAGCAAATGGAGGGGAGAAAACTTCTCTATTACCCTATCGATTTTCCTTTTAGGAAAAAAGTGAATGTGTTTACAATGTCAGTGAGATAACGGCCGGGTCCAGCAGGATGACCAGATCCCAGTGACTTAGATAAGCGGCAAAAATGTTTGGGGCTAAAACTCCCGAGACATCCAGATCTATCAGATGGTGATATATGGCCCAAGATCAAACAAGAATTTCTACCAGAGGCTAGTGAGATATCGTGTTGCACAATCAGTGTCTGTAATTTCAGCAGTGGTCCAGTAAGGAGAACCTTTCGCGTGGAATTTCATCTCCGTCTTGGCCCCATTCCTACCCTGGTAATAAAGACTCAGCCCTCAGGCTGCCCCAGGCATGAAACCCACCGAGACAGGGAGATTGTGAAACACTCTTAACCTTGTTTGCTTTTTTAAAAAACAAACAGAAGATAACAAAGAAAGGAGACAAACCACTACTTATTACTAATACCAAATTAACCATGGAATTTTTAAAATATTCATTATACCCAGACCATAAAGAAAATGCAACAAATTTATTAAAAGTAGAAACTGTAGAAGTCATACTATCTGAATACCATGTAATAATGTAATAAAATTACAAAATAAGACATAAGACTAGCGTCCCCAAAAGAAACCTACTTGCAAATGCAGAACACTCTCCTAAATAATACTTGGGACAAAGAGGATATCAAAATTGGAATGTTTACTACCAGATATAAAACTTATCCACTCCAGAAAATTTGAGTTTTACATGTCTTTATGCTTTAAAAGAGAGAAAGGAAAAGCGGGCAGCCAGGAAAGGGACACACCTAGAGTCTTAACACAGGAAACTAAAAAGATGAAAACATAAAATAGAGGTTTATGGGGGTTAGAATTTAGTAAAAATAAAAAAGATGTTAAAAATTAGAGAATATATTCAAATTCACTTACTAAAACACTTTCCCCAAAGTCAGCACATCATAAAGACCGATAAAGCAGTCAAAACTCAAGTAAGACTGGTGAGGGGGTAAAAAAAAAAAAAAAAAAAA